TCTGGGCGGATCCGGGTCGGAAATGTGGTTCGCGTTCCGGCTGCGTGGTTTATACGGGCTGCTTGAGCTCCCAGAGGTGCATTCCCTTCATTTGCAAGATGTGAATAACATAAAATCGCAGGGTTGTTGTGGATCAAAGACATGAAATATGTGGACTGTGCATGACGTTATTGCAAACTCACGATCAGTGTTAGCAGTTTTCTTCTGGACCTTTTCATCCTCAGGAAGATTTTAGTTCAGTGAGGGAACCAGTATTTTATCTATTTATGTATGTATTTTTTTTGAGAGAGAGCTGTCAGCACAGAGCCCGACTCGGGGCTCGAACTCGTGAACCGCGAGATCGTGACCTGAGCCGAAGTCGGAGGCTCAACCGACTGAGCCACCCAGGCGCCCCATGGGAACTAGTATTCTCAAACAGAAAATGAGTTAGAAAACATTATTCACTTACCCGTTTAATGGACAAATAATTACCGTGCAGCCTGTGTGCAGCAGGCAGGGTTCCAGGCCCCGGGGAATCACCGGTGGACCCAACAGATTATTGTCCTCGTGGAGCACACGTCTAGTTGGGAAAGACAGATGATAATAAACCAGCAGATCGTACCGTGTGTCCTCCTGTCACTCTACCTGGGGGTCAGAGCGGGCCTTCCTGAGAAGGTGATGGTGGAGCACGGGCTTGAAGGGCTTGAAGAAGGGGGGGAAGAGCCTCCCAGCAGAGCCACGGAGGTGGGACATGCCCGTGGCACTGGTGGAGGGGGGGGTTGGGGAGGCGTAGGGGGCCCTGGATGGGCTGGTGGGGGAGGGCCCTGTGGACCTCGGAAGGACACCAGCTCCTCCTCTGAGTGACAGGGAAACCACACAGGGTCTTAACTTTTGACTCTACTTAGCAAAAGGTTGGTCTGGTGTCTCGCTGAGGACAGACGGCTGCAGAGAGGGAAGGACGGACACAGGGAGGGCCCCTGGGGGTGTTTTCCTGACGCAGGAGAGAGACGACGATGCCTCCCCCCACTTTGTCTCTCTTCGTGCGTGTGGACAGTGCGTGTAAGACGTATAATTTTACCGTGAACGATTTCATCGTGTACAGAAGCAGTTGATCTTTGGACCCCTCACGTACCCATCACCACTGACACGGTTATTGAGTCCTGGCCAGACTGTTTCATCCACGTGTTGAAGTACTTCCTCTCCTTCTCGGATAATCGGAAGGAAATTCCATACGTCATATCATGTCAGGGTTCTGAATCCAACTTCAGACTGGATTCGAGGTGTCAGGGGAAGAGGAGACAAATGAAAGGTGACCCTGAGGCTGTTTGGGCGGCTTGAGGACGACGTGAGTCCAGCGGGGGAGGGGAGCCCGAGTCGGGGAGGACCTCGCACGTGGGGCACGCATCCCGGGGACAGCTGGGGTTGGCAGGTGGAGATCCAGGAAGGCGATATGTATTTGGGGACAACCAGCATGCGGGTGACGTTAGAGGCCCGGGGACCGTGTGGGGCCACCGGGGTGAGAGGACGCAGCAGAGATAGGGACCCTCCAGCATGAAGAGCTCAAGGGGGAACTGCCTGTTCTTTGAGTTATTACAAGATCATCACAGACAGTGTTCCAATTCACATTGCTGACAGCAGATGGTGGGTGTCTGTTTGTTACAAAAAAGTGTCCATTTCATGAGGAAAAATGTCATATTATGAGGAATCACGTTCTTGTGATTTCAAGTCTTGCTGACTTCTCATGTGCATTGACCATTTGTGTTTCTTCCATTGTGAATAATTCTTTAAATGTTTGTTTATTTTTGAGAGAGAGAACCAGCAGGGGAGGGGCCGAGAGAGAAAGGGGGGCACAGAATCTGAAGCAGGATCCAGGCTCTGAGCAGACACCAGTGAGCCTGTCGTGGGGTTTAAACTCACAAACTGTGAGATTGTGACCTGAGCCAAAGTCAGATGCTCAACCGACTGAGCCACCCAGGTGCCCCTTTATTGTGAATAATTCTTTTTTTTTTATTATCTTGTTTTATTTTTTATTTTTTAAAATTTACATCCAAGTTAGCATCTAGTGCAACAATGATTTCAGGAGTAGATTCCTTAGTGCCCCTCCCCCATTTAGCCCATCCCCCCCCACAACCCCTCCCGCAACCCTCAGTTTGTTCTCCATATTTATGAGTGTCTTCTGTTTTGTCTCCCTCCCTGTTTTGGTATTATTTTTGCTTCCCTTCCCTTCTGTTCATTTGTTTTGTATCTTAAATTCCTCATATGAGTGAAATCGTATATTTATCCTTCTCCGACTGACTAATGTCACTTAGCACAATACCCTCCAGTTCCATCCACGTACTTGCAAATGGCAAGAATTTCATTCTTTTTGATTGCCGAATAATACTCCCTTGTATCTATAGACCACATCTTCTTTATCCATGCATCCATCGATGGACATTTGGGCTCTTTCCATACTTTGGCTACTGTCGATAGTGCTGCTATAATCATGGGGGTGCGTGTGTCCCTTCGAAACAGCACACCTGTATCCCTTGGATAAATGCCTAGTAGTGCAATTGCTGGGTC